GGCTGCAGGCTTGGCGGTCCCGTCGCCGTCCCTCCGCCCCTCCCGGCCCGCACAACCAATGGCCGCGAGCCGGGCCCACTCCCCGCCGCCCCCCAGCCGCTGCTCGGGCTGGAGCTTGGCGCTAGGACAGCAGCCGACTCGGGCGAGGGAGGAGCTTGCGCCACCGTTGGAAAATCCCGGAGGACGAGGAGGCGTTTGCGCAGGGAGCCCCATCTGGGGAAGGCAGGTGCGGGGTGTGAACTTTTGCGTGTGCGTGTAGGGGGGTGCAGTTTCTTGGGGGCTCAGGGTCCTCTCTCGGTTGGCGAAAGCATCCAGTTCTTGCCAAGTTTCTTTTCCTCTTCAACGTTTTATGAGTCACGTGCAGCCCCCACCCCAAACAGCGACCCCCGAGGCACCATCGCAAGCCCAGCTCACACTGAGCTGCATGGGGACACCGCCTCATCCTACGACCAGCTTCGCCTCCTTCCCCTCTGAATCCTACGCCAAGCCACCAAATGAGTCGAACAGGGTTGCAGTTCCCATCACTGCCAGGGAGCCAGGCAATCATAAGAGTGCCTACTGGGTAACTGGCACAGAGAGAGTCATAGAGCATAAAAGAACTCTGGAAAGGAGCTTTTACCTGGTATGACTAACTTCCCTTACCAATGAGCTCCGCGACCTTCACCTGGAGACTCCTCCTCTCTGTATTCCTGTTTTTCAGCTGGAAAATGAAATGTCTGAGATCTCTTTCACTCTGACATTCAACAGTCCTACTGGCTCTGTGGCCTATGTGGACTGCGAAGGCTGAGCCCCCGGGAAGTGTTGGTGTGGCCACCTTTTCCCTGAGCCCCTACTCCACCCAGCTCTGCTGTCTGCACCCTGAGACCCCTCTATCTGGGGCAGGAAAGCAAACTCATACATATTAATACAGAACCGTGCTGCCCACATCTCAGTGCCGTTTACGCACGTATACTGCCACCCAGCAGTGCCCAGCTCCTGGGATCCTGTTACTTGTGCCCATGTTCAGCTGTTCTGTAGATGGAGACAGGCAAGCACACCTGGCTTAACTCTTAGGCTCCTTGGTAAACACGTAAAGGCTCTATCCCCCGCCCCCCTCTCTCCCCAGGGAATTGTGGGTCTGTGCTAACCTTTTCTATGTGGATTTTTCTGTACCTGATCTAAGATGCAGGAGGGTGGAATGAGCTGTGTTGTCAAGAGGGCAGATTCAGAGAACTGTTTCTCTCCCAACACACTGGCATTTGCATTCTAAACTGGTTCACTGCTACGCCCACGAATTTTGTTCCATCCATCTACCACCTGCCCTATATGTACTTAATAAATTTTACCTTAGATTTTTTACTTAGCCTCATCGTAAGCAATAATATCCATGAAACCATTGGTTTGTTAGATACCAGTTGTATTTCAATACACAATAAAAGAAAAGCATTCCTCTATGCTACCTAAAATCATTTCAAATATCACGGTGGTCTTCACACCTCACTTGGGAAACACTGGGGTGTGTGAGACCTGTGGACCTTCAAGACAGTGGTCCTCAAACTTCTCTGTTCATAAGATTCCTAGGCCACAACCCTACAGTCTGATTCATTCATACTCCACATATTTCTAACACAGTTTGTCCATTGAGAAACCTGCAGATGTCTTGCAAGTTTCAGAGAAGGGAAGAGAACTGCTTATTGCCTGGCAGGCTTTTTAGCCAGACCGGCATAAGCAGTTTTCTTTTCCTTGTCTTACCTTTGGTGACAAGGTAAGATAAGTTTTCTTTTGCTCGTCTCTCTTTGGTGTCTGTCCTATAAGGCTTTTCTTGACATTTCATAACTTTGTTAGTGTATTAGTTTCCTAGGGCTACTGTAACAAATTGCCACAAACTGGGTGGCTTAAAACAACAGAAATGTATTTTCTCATAGTTCTGGAGGCCAGAAATCAAGTCAGTTAAGTCAGTTTATTTTTGTTTTTTGTTTTTTGTTTTTTGTTTTCTTTTGATAGAATCCATTACATGCCTTTTCCCAAGCTTCTGGGTCCTTGGTGCTGCTTGGCTTGCATGTGGATGCATCACCCCAGTCCCTGCCTCTGTCTTCACATCTCCTCCTTGATGTCTCTCTTTTCCCCTTCTCTTGTAAGGACACTTTCATTGGATTTAGGGCCCACCCTCATTCAGGACAATCTCATCTTGAGATTCTTAATTACATCTGCAAAGACCTTTATTCCAAATAAGGTCACATTCAGGGGTTCTAGGTGGACATATATTTTGGGGAAGCACCATTCCACCTAGTACAGTTGGTGTTAGTGATAGTCCAAACTCTCTGCTTTTGGATCACAGTGTTCTATCTCCCCAGGATGACATCAGGTAAGCTCTAGTGAGTTCAAGCTTTTGAGTAGATGCCAAATAGGGCCACGTTGCAACTCTTCAAAAAAATGCTGGCCACTTAAACATGACGTAGGGAAAACATGTAAATGTGTTTTGGAGGTCTTACTTTGTAAACTCAGTTATTGTACCTAATGCTCTTTATTCCTTTAGGTTCAGGTGCAAAACGGGTACAAAACTTTTATATTGGCTTTAAGTACAGTGAAGAATGAGGCAGTTAACCTGAAATGGAAGGCAAAACTCCTTTTATCTTTTTTTTTTTAATTTCATGTACAAAATATCTAGAAAATTTTAATTCTGTAATTTACTTCCATAGTATGTCTTCAAAGGCAGGTCAGATATCACTTAAAGGCCTGGGAGTTTGCAGGTAGGCTTGGAGACATAGCTTCTAGGGAGCACGATTATTACCACCACCAATATCACCCCTGGCTTACTCAGAGAGAAATGGATCGCTGAAAACAGTGGAGAATTTGGAATCAGATGGAGAGTCATTAAATTCTTTTTTTTTTCCATTGTAAAATTTTTTTAACCTTACTTTCTATTTATGGCAAACACCACTAGTTTTCCTTGTGTTAGTGACTCAAAGTTTTATTTTAAAAACAAATTTGGGGGCCGGCCCAGTGGCGCACTGGAGAGTACGCCGCTTGGGAGTGGGGCGGCGCTCCCGCCGAGGGTTCAGATCCCATGTGGAGACCGGTTCCCGCTCACTGGCTGAGCGTGGTGCGGGCACAACACCGAGGGTTGCGATCCCGTTGCCGTCCTCGGTGCGGGCGCGACACTGAGGGTTGCGATCCCGTTACCAGTCAGCAAAAAAAAAAGACAAAAAGGAAAAAAAAACAAAAACAAAAACAAATTTGGTCAAGTAAAAACATAAGGCAATTTCAAAGAATTACATTAAGTAAATAATAGTATAGCCGGTAGGTAACCAAAACAAAATTATAAGAGATATGAGAATGATAAAAAATAAGGAAATAGTGCTGGGGGGAGGGATGTTGGGGGCTAATTGGGTGGGGAAACAGGGTACAAAAGCAATTTCTGGTAATTTGTATCTCATGAATATTCATAATAAATAAATAAATAGAGTCATTAAATTCTGATGCCATCACTTACTATCTGTACGACTTGAGCCAATCACTTAACCTCTCTGAGCCTCATTTTCCTTATTTATAAAAAGGAAATAATAGTGTCCACTTTATGAAATGGTTGTTGGGAGTGTTAAACACACACACATACAAGCACAGTTCCTAACAGTTGTCTGGCACGTAGTAAGTGCTTAAAAAT